GAGAGAAATTGAATAAAAACGGATATACAACAAATAAATAAAAAAGAAGAGAGATGGAAGGATTATGTATGGGTAATCCTTGTGTGATGGGTAAAAAGTATATGTCCAATCAAGATCAGGTTGAATTACATCGAAAGACATCAGCCACGAAGAGAATCTCTACATAAGCCACTAGTCACTAAAGAACTAAAAAGACTATTTTTTTTAGGGTCAGGAGTTTCCCAGAGGAATGTATCTCTTTGGTCAATTACATCTTGAGGGATACCTAAGAATACTTTTGATAAAAGAGTTTTCACCTTATATTATCAAAAACTTAGGGAAATAAGTCACAAAGAATGGTCATTTCATATGGAAACACATCGATGCTTTAAATCTCTCGCTAAGCCACATGATCAAAAACTTAGGGAAATAAGTCACAAAGAATGGTCTTTTCATATGGAAACACATCGATGCTTTAAAGCTCTCGCTAAGCCACATGATAGAGAGTGAATTTATCACATCCCAAATGGGTAGCATACGAAGGCTATGAAATAACCAAAATCATTTTGATGAAGATATCCCTATACGTCAAAGCACTCCCAAGTCATAAGGGTAAAGGATAAATTGTTGTATCCCAAATATGCAACACCTCATTGACAATGAGCCATCAAAATGATATCAACGAAGTAAAAGGGGTGATAGAGCTCAAAAGGGGTAGACAAAGGATGAGATTAGTAGTCAATAGAAGGAAGAAGTAATTGGGTTGGAGTACCACAGATCCTTCATCCCAAGCTACTAGAACCTTACGTCTTAACCGATCATGAAGGTACTTGACCCAACATATCCAGAGATCTCTGGTCAGCAATCCATGAATTATGTCATCCAAAAGAACCTCAATAGCCTTAAGGTCAAAAGAAGGAATCTCTAGTTCTATGACATACCAGGTTGGAGCTCAAGAGGTGAGACTTATACTTGTCAAATGACAAGGATGCCTCAAGAAAAAAGATAAAGGGAGGTTTAACTACAAATCTAGAAACACTCTCAAAAGGACTTTCACCCCATCTGGGTCAGGGAGCCTCCAAAAAACCTAGGCGCACTAGATAACCTTCTATATAGAATGATATGTTTGACCAGTTGGGTTGGAGAAGCATGAAGGCTTCTCTGTGGGACATGAAATTTTGAATGCAGTTATCTAAAGTGGTACTTAGATATTGTGGAGACCCTATTAATTATGACTTGGGTTATGCCCATGCAATGCAGCTTGTTTAAAATCCTACCTGAAGGCCATGTAAGAAAGTAAAAGTGCAAAATTTAAAATCATGAATATTTTAATCCTAAAATTTCATTTTCTTGATTTTTTTATTAAGTTTTTTGTAGAAAATTTAGAATTTTAAATCCTATGGAGCCTATATTGCATTTGTGATTCCCAAATAAACCACAAAAATAAATAATGAAAGCATTTCAAGCATTCAATCACGTAATAAGGCAAGCAAAATTAAAATAATATGAAAGGTTGGTGCTACTGGTTGGAAAAATTTTTCAAAAAAGAAAAAGGTCAGTTGAACTCTGCATATATATGCTCAGTCCTAATTCTATACATTATTATCAAATTCAGAATTAAGATACAATATATGAGCATCTGATCTTAGTCCCTTGCCACATGGTTCCTACACCAAACATCTTAGAACTCATGCCTATATCTTATTTCTACTATAGAGCTTTCTTAGAATTCTAAAAGTACATATGAAAGGAGAAAAGATTCAACCTACATGAAAATAAGGTTAATGGGGAAATTTATGCAACATATAATGAGCCATGCCTGATGGGGAAGCTAAACAGAACTTGCAAATATAGTGTTACTAGAAATCATTACATGCTCCTTCTTTTCATGGTAAAAGTGTGTGTGCATATATAGGCGCGACTCTTTGCAGAAGAATGCTATAACACACTACCATGCACATAAAGCATGCATGCACACCAAAAAGCAGAAATCAGGAAAGATACATGGCTAAGACAACTAAACCAACACATAAGTTGAATGGGTTAGAAGAAACTGTATAGAATCATTTTAGAAGACTATCATGAGTGGTTAGAAAAAAAAATCAAATATTTGTTGTCATGTGGAATGACATGAATATTATTGGCTATTAGTCTGAATGTGATTTAAATTTTTATTTAAAATATAATAATCTCACTTTTCGAGTGTAGTAGTCTCAAATTTAAATAATATTGTTTCCTCTTTTGTGAAGAGATTTGTGCTTTTACTTTTCTTATATGTTTTTTATGCACATAACTTTCTTTCCTTGTTTTAGTAAAATATTGTATCTTAAATTTGTTATGACTCTGTAAATATTCTTTACATATTTTTTGTCATAAAATTTAGCATGATGTTTATTATTTACAAAAATGATGGATACACAACATCCAACTACTTCAGTTGCTTCAAGAATAATAAAAGAAAAAAATATATGTGAAACTTACAACATATGTGGACCTTTAGTTTGTTACAAACAATGGTTGAGTCTGTTGATTTGAATATGCAAAGTGCTCAAGCGTTTAAAGAGTCTGTTTACCTAAACATAGCTAAAAAGTTAAAAGAGAAATTCAGAATTGAAGTTACAGGGGAACAATTTAAGAACAAAATTCAACAACAAAGAACTTTATGGAGTTTTATTCAAGAACTAAAAAAGTCTAGCATGCCTTGGGATGAAATTAGAAAAATTATATTAATGTGTCCTGAGGAATACATATCTCATATATATGTATTACTTTTACTCAAGTATTGATTTAAGATATCACAAAAACAAATAAATTCAATGAGCTGTGTTTATTGTATTACAAACTTTTCTTAAAGAAGTGTAACTCTTCAATGTTCCCATTGCAAATTATATGGAATTGAAGAATGTATGTGGTGAGGTCGTGCTATTAGAGATTTGACTTGGTCTGGAAATAGACAAACTTCACTTGATAGCCATCAAATAGACTTGGATGATGAGGAGAATGATATTTTAGAGAGATGGGAAGAGATGCATTACTTCTTATACAGTTGCCTGAAGTGGATATTAGATAGCAAAACAACGATGAAGTGAGATATGTCATCATGTTCAAAGAGGCGTGACTCAAAAAGAAAGAGGAAAAAGCATTACTTCTTATACAGTTGCCTGAAGTGGATATTAGATAGCAAAACAACGATGAAGTGAGATATGTCATGTTCAAAGAGGCGTGACTCAAAAAGAAAGAGAAAAATTTCTACTAATGATCAAAATATTTATGACTACATTTTTATGATGACTAACTGTGTTAGTGAATTTGTCAATGCTTTAAAAAGTATAACGACCTAAGAAAAGAGAAAATGTTCACTAATTTAAAGACATAATTTTTCAATATTTCAGGATACTCAATGGAATAAATTGACTTTATTTTTGATAAATTATCCAAGAACACAACAATGATTCATGTGTTCTCTCAAAACTATTGGAGTCTAAGGCTATGTAGATGCAGAGTGAGACAAGAAAGTAACCATTTTTTTTATGGATGAATGATGGTTTAATTTGGTTGGATTGATATTAGTTAGCATGTTATTTTGAATGTAAAAATATGTAATGAGTACATAAACATATTTTGGTGAGTTTTGGATTTTTCAATGTCCAACATGCTTTATTTATCCATGAAACTTCATTAGTATTTTGAATGTATTGAATACAGATGGTTTCTTAATTTTTTAGTTATATTGAATATGTTCTATGTATTGTTGTCGTGCTAATAGTAATCTTTTTTATTTACAAAAATAGCACCTAGTCATTTAAAATGAACTAGTAAACTCATATATTTATAGTTTATACAATCATATATATATGCTGAAAGCCGTGGCTTGTTGGTTGGCGGGGTTCACTATAAGTCCCCTCAGGTCACGGGTTCGATCCCTAGTTGCGTTAGGTTCTCGAATATTTAGGCACATGGTGCGGCTCCCATCATGGGGCCTAGCGCATGAAAAACTGATATTTGGGTCTTTGCCAAAAACCAATTTCCTTAATCTATATATATGTATGTATGTATAGGCATGTACTTTATTCATTAGATGACTTTATTTTTTACATCTATTACCGTTTAATCATTTTTCACAAACAACACACGTACAAATTAAATTTCAAGTTAGACATTTTACATACCAATTGGAAACACAGTACAGCTTGATCTGGACTTGAATTGGATTTGCTCAACTTTGATATCATTTTGCTCATCTTGTTGACCATAAATTTGTCTTAATTGGGGGACATATGATCCTAAAGTTGAATATGAAATGCTTAATGATCAAATTTCTTTATGAGACATCAATATGATAATGCACAAATATTTTATTACAAAATTTTTGGTAAACATAAAAACAATTTATGTGTATTTACTTTACAAATAACCAATCAAATTAAAAAAATTTTTGAATACACTATTTCTTATTTTTCCATACAATTAAACTAAAAAAATAAAATTCTTTTTCTATATCTAACTTGCAAGTATAACGAAACAAACAATCTACTAAAAACACATTAGACTTCGGGGGTGCTTGCTTGCAAGCATAATTTAAGTTAAAAGAAATTTGGATTTAATAAATCTAAATATTATTAAATTTGAAATAATGTTATCTTCAATTAAGTCTAGTTAAATTCAGGGACCGTTTGGGACAGCTTGAGTGTTTCAGGATAAGCTGTTTATCCTGAAACGCGGCCAGCGGGCCGGCCGTGGGGGTCGACCCGCAGTCTGCGTTTAGTGTAAAAACCCAAATACAATTTTGGATAAGCTGGTGAAATACGCGAACCAAACAGTACGGCGGCGTTTTGCAAAGACTGCCCGCAATTATAAGCTGCCCCGAACGGACCCTCAATGAAAAAAAAGTAGATTTAATAAATTTAGATTTAATAAATGAAACAACTAAAAATTATATTTTATTTAATAGTCTATTTATCTAATGTATTTATAGTGTTTGACTGAATTTAATTTGGATTTAAGTTAAATCTACGATTTATTTTGTCTAATTGACTGAAGGCAACTCGTCGCTGAGGGAGAAGATGGGTAATCTTTGGAACAAGGAACCGCCGCCACCGGTAGTTCTGGTGCCTCCCATCTTCGATTTTCCGCCTCTCGTAGCACGCAAAAGGTCAGGATTCCTACCTACAATCTTCCCCCCTCCTCCTCTCTCAGTTTCTCTGTCCTTTCTCTCTCTTTTTCTCTCATGCACATGCAAACATACTTTTTATCTGAGAAACTGTTTTCATAGATGACATGAGCAGTTTAGCAATACCTATCATCTCTTCTTGCTTGTAAGAATCAACTGACGAAGATTATTAAGTTTGCTGTAATTTGTCTGTGAATGCCGATTCTCTTTGCTTGTATTTCTATTGAAAACGGATACTTGGAGCATGTATGTGAAATTTTGGCTATTGTGTAATGTGGAAATGTGGTATTAGAATTTTATATATGTTGGAACAGGATGCTGGTTCCAGCTTATGACTTGCTATTCGGGAAACTGGCACTGCGATGCCTTTTTGAGGACTACTTTGAGAAGGCACGGCAGTTGAATACTAAGATTATGCTGAAGCCATTGGAAGATCCTCATGTGGATTTGGTTGCAACAGTATCCTTAGAGTTTCAATTGTCCTTACCCTCTTTAGGGTTTTGGCTTTTTTTTTAATTGTCTTACGTTTTATTGAATAGCATGTAGGTTCTTGATCTATAGTTGCTTGTCTTTGTTGTTAAATGATATGTGGTAGAACTTGAGCTCTTTCAAGGTAATAGTTGCAAGCCTTAACCTTTTTTAGGTTTCTAGTTCCCTTGATGAGAAAACTGGTGCAAATGTGGTAGGAAATGCTTTATTCTCCTGGCAGAGGTTGTATTATTTGCTACTTCTGCCATGATTCATGTTTTTTACTCTTCAGCGCGGGCTAATAGCTGAATTCTTTTTTTCATCATTTGTAATTTTTTTAGGGATTTGGATGACCCACACACTTTCATAGACCTTTTCATATCTACCAATAACCCGTAAGAATGTGATTATTCTTCCGAGATATGTTTTATTCCCCATTGTTTCTTAATATGCTTGTCAAAATCCTTGTAAAACGTTTGGAGCTAATGCTTTGTTAATCTACTCTTGTTTTGGAAAGCATTTTACGCTTAAGGTCCTGTGCATATTATCCAAAAGTGGGATTTGGAGCTTTTGGTATATTTCCTGTGCTAACTCCTAACAGGTATGATTCGTTTATCCTTTTTTTTTTTACATAGTGGTTTACTATACATCCTTAAGAAAGTGAAAGAATCTCTGCTCATTGGAGCATTATGCACATTGACCTTCTCATACCATTAATGAAAGATGCATCCATCAGTTTTTTCATCTCTGCTGATGCAAGACAAATTTCTTCTTACAGCATGCACATTTGTTATTCTGTAATATTTCTCTTACCATTAATGAAGGATGTGTCCACTATTTGCTTATCTCTTTAAAGATTTATCTCAAAGAGTTCTTTTTTTCCCTTAAATGTAATTCTTTTGCTTATCTCTTTAAAGATTTATCTCAAAGAGTTCTTTTTTTCCCTTAAATGTAATTCTTTGAAATAGTTTTTTTAAATCTACTTAATCTGCTATAAAATTGCACTTTCTTTCCCTTAAATGTAATTCTTTTTATGGTTTTGGTTGTGTTGTACTTTACAATGCAATTTGGAAGTTACAGCATGCATTATTCTCATCCGTTCTTCGATGACATTTACAGGGTACAACCGGAAGATTATGGTTTCATGGGCTTGAGATATGGATCTGAAAAACTTTCTTTTGGTGCTATTCTTATGCCGTTTCCTGGTATATGTCTTTCACGATATATTCTAATATTGTTGCAATTTATACCAAGTTTTTGTACACAGTTTTCTTCTACAATGATACAAGCATTGGACTGAGTTATTTGGTGTGGGAGCAAAAGATTCTTAGACTACAAGTCTTAGCACATTTAAATATCAAACTAATGTCAGGTGTGCTGGACCTTTGATTTAATGACTTGATTTTCCCCAATGAAATAATCGTATGATATAGAAGTATATGATTACTAAGGGATTGCCGCTTCATTGACTTCAACCAATGTTTGAAGTTGAACAATTGGGTGTTGATACAATTTTTTTTTTCGTGAATCAAGACATAAATCTTAGAGGTAAACTATTAAATTAATAAAAATTATGAAATCACATGTAACATACTAATATCAAGGTTGGAAGTCAGAGTAAGAGCATAGAAGGCTATTGATAGTCATGTAAGGCTACAAGTATCGCTAAATGAAAATTCTCTCGCAAGCCCAATTTAACATAAGCAAGTTATCATAATTTAAGAATTCAAATGTGTCTCCCATTATTATAACTTATAAGGTTTTCATTAGAATCATTATTGTAGTTGATTGCTTTCTCTCCTCTCTTATTGTTAAGGAGATAGTTACCAACAACTGGAGGAGAGGTTTTTGTGGGGAAGGGTAGAGGCGGCTTTACAACAGTTGCTATGGCATAGCAGTTGCGGCGGTGCCGCAATAGCCATTGATAGCCCAATGGGATTAGTTGCGAGGGTGAGGCCCCTAAGGCATGTGCCTGTGAGTTTGAGATTGTGCGGTTCTGCTCTTGTTTTGTTTTTTTTTTTGGTTTAAGTTTAGCAAATAGGTTTAATTTTATGTATAATATCCACAAATGAAGATTTTATAATTATCTAAGGGTCTGTTTGGGGCAGCTGCAGCTTATCCAGCTTGTGCTTATAAGCACCTTATCCTGATAATCTGCTGATGAGCAGCTGATCCGGATAAGCTGTCTGGCTGTTTGATTTGTGAGTTTGGAAAACAGCTGATTCTGGGAAAATGACCATTCTGCCCCTGTTCTGAATAAGTTGTTTAGTTGTTTGGTTTGTGCGTTTGGAAAACAACTTATCTGTAACTTTTTGTAGATAATTTTTTAAATAAATTTTAAATTATCTGTAACGTAATTTGTAATCAATGATTTACAATATACTCTAATTTTAAAATAAAAGAATATATCGGTAAAAAAATTGAGTAAATAAATAAAATGTACTTACCAAAGTGTGGAGGAAGCGGTTGCCGACAACATAGGTGCTTAATGCAGTGTTTTTTTGAGTAAACAAATAATAGAGAGTCCAATTTTCAATTAATTTATATGCATTTACATACATACCACTCAATTCCTACGTATTTAGATATCCAACACCTAAACTGCGTGAAATAAATCCAAGTAAATCATTACTGTTCTTGAAGAAAATAGACATTTTTTTTTAAACTCAGGTATCTTCAGCTTGCATAAGAAATTATAAAAGAGTTTCTTGGTTGGAAATGCATTAGGTGTAAAATTAGTTGTTTAGAATTGCAAGATAGAAATTGAACCATCTTCAAATTCAAATCAGTTCTAAACATATTTTGTAAAAACAAATCAGTTCTAACTTAAGGGTAATGCGTTACTCTAAACTGACACGCACTAATTAGTTTTCTTTTGAAGATGAACCCCGTGCATATAATGGGATGCGTTACTCTAAACTGCCACCCCTAATGTGCATATATGCACGTGGGAGCAAGTTTTATATTATTGCCGGTGTGATATTATTTATAGACCATTCATAGTATGAGTCATTGTTCAATTATCAGGTTGAGGCCTTACCTAAGTTCTTGATAAATTGTAACTTAGATAGTTGTAATCTCATGTCTAAAAAATTTAAAGAGAACATAAGATGGTAACATATATTTACAGTAAATCATGTTTGATTATGAGATCTGTAAACTTATTATAATATGCAAACATATTAGAAATTTTTTTGTCTACAACTCTTAAAATGATTTATTAATTTTGCATTCAGGCCCTAAAGCTTGGAATACTAAGTCGGGTAATTCCGTTTATCTAGGAGTCATGTTGTCATTTGCATGCTTTTATACTTCAACTAAAAGCATAAGCTAGGCTCAATATCCATGACTTGCATTCCTAATGAACACAAACTTACATGCTCCCACCACTATTTGCATTTGTATGTTCGCTTGATTTAATTTCTTTCATTGGAAATTAGATATACTGTCATATTCCATGATGACCTTTCTTGTTGAATTTAAGATATAACAGAGGCGGGTATGGCTCAGTTTCTTGAATTTATCACCAACACTTATTTTGAAACGTTACATACTAGAGAAGAGTAAGCGATATATTTAACCATCTAAACAACCAAAATTTATCATACAACATAAATTTTAATTCTTACTGATTTAGATATTATTATAAATCAATTGAACAGAAGCACTAAAAATTATTTCTTAATTCAACATGTCGAGAGTGAGGGGGAAGGATCAAAGGCTATGGTTTTGTGTTCATGGCTGATTTTGAGTAAAGCCATTCGCTTTGGTTCGTTAATTCAACATGTCGAGAGTGAGGGGGAAGGATCAAAGGCTATGGTTTTGTGTTCATGGCTGATTTTGAGTAAAGCCATTCGCTTTGGTTCGTTGTAAGGTACAATTTTTTATATTTTCAATTAGAATATTTTTGTTGATTACCCTATACAACTTTCAATTTGTTTTTTATTAATCTATTTTTTTAGTAGTTAAATCAATTAATTGTGGTTCTATCGACTATTTCTCTACAACTTCAACTCAATTTAGTGAAGTTCCCTTTATTTTGACATACATTTACCCATAAGGTGTGATTTTGATATAATATTGATACTTATTGCTATAAAAAACTACTCTCATATCCAAAGTTTAAACTACATAATTTTAGTAAATCCTCTGGCATTTTATGTTATTTTTTATTGACCATCAATTTGTGAATAAAATGTTATACTGAAATACAATTATGTGTTCAAACTTATCTAAATGCTTTTCCAATGTCTGGATGTCAACTTACCATCTTCATTTGATATCGTTAGATAGGTATATCTTGAAATATAATAATTTTCTTTGTAAATATCTTTGCTAATTTCTCCATTGAATCAGTCAAACGAATAGGCATAATGCGTGTAGATCTTGTCATTCTATCAATTAAAGCTTGCAACACCCAAATGTAATCATGCTCTTATCTTGATATGAGAAAACCCGAGATTAAATTCATAGTTATATTTTCACACTTTCACTTTGGTGATGCTAATGCCTGCAATATTCCATTCAACTTCGTTTCTCTTCCTAGGCCACCCAAAATAATGTCTTTAAATTTTCATATTTTTTGGTATTATTTGGGTAAATTGAATGACCTAAGTAATAAGCCTCACATATAATCACCTTAATCAAGAGAATTTTTGGGATCGAATGATGAATTGATTGCATCACGTTCGTCTGTGTTGAGATCTTTTTTGCTTATTGACTGCTCTTATTCAATAATCTTTTTATATTCATCATTTATCTTTGCGTATCCATTGTTCTTTCTCCTGGGTAAGATGTGTAATCATTTGATGTAAATTGCAATGGTTTAATCACTTGGTAATTTTATCCTTAATTAGAAGCCTTCTATATCTCTAATTACCTCTGCTTCCTGAGTTAACATCCAACGTCTATTATATCTTCTAATCAATTTATCTATCATTATATTAGCCTTTTTAGGACACTATTGAATGTTAATAATATTATTTTCTATTTGTTCTAATCATCTTGACTATCTCAAGTTCAACTCTTTTTCTATTAAAATAATATCTTAAATTCTTACGATATGTATACAATTAACATCTTATCACACACAAATAATGCCTTCAAATTTTTGGAGTAAACATTATTATTGCAAATATTAAATCATATGTAGGATAATACAACTCATGCACTTTTAGCTTTTTAAAAGCACATGCAATTACCTTCTTATTCTTTATTAAAACACATTCTAGACTTTTAAAAATATATATCTAAATTTTCTCAGTTCTACATGAAAATTTTAACTCTTATTCCAATATCAAACATCTCTTAGGTTCTTGAAAATTTTACTCATGCTTATTAGTTCAATCAAATTGAACATCTTGCTTGTCATTCTAGGTAAAGACATTGTCATCTGAGAAAATCTCCTTATACATCTTCTAAGGGTTGTTTGGTAGCCGAATTTAACTAGAATTTACACAGGATTTAGTAGAAATGAAGCTAAATGGTCAAAAATAACTTTTTTAACATTTAAATCCGTTGGAATCTTAAATCACATTCCTCCATTTGGCCTAAATAATTTATGCGAGCATCTCTTGCACACTAGATTTTGCAGAACCTGAAAAATTGATGGGGGAGCCTCCCGCAATGGGGATTTCTCGCGAGTTACAAACTCCCGTCTAAGCCACCGAAGAGGCAATTGTTGGAGATCTATTCGGGAGGAAATGTCTTAATGTCGTTTATGACTAATCCATAATGAGATGTCTGAGAACCTTCTATAGAGGATATGTGATTGAAAATCCTCCAACTGCAACAGAGACTTATTGCCACAGTAGCCACAGTGACTTGCCAAATTGAAACAATACAGTGAATCCCATCCACCAGACAGATTTTAGAGATAAAAAACCACTATCCTGAAGATTTAGCATCAAATATTATAGTATCTAAGATTTTGAAATAAAATTGAATTTATTATATTTTGATGACCATATGGATTTGGACGAGTTTATCGAGTGTCTAGATGGTGGAACGTGCTTTGAGTACTAGAACATTTAACTAGACGGAATGGTAAAACTATCCACCAACAAGTCAAGGAAGAGTGCATCTTTCTGGTGGGAGATCTTGAAGATTCTTGAACAACAAGAAAGGAAGAATAAAATTACTACCTGGTCTTAAATGAAACGAGAGACAGCGTAAGTACCTCTCAGTTCTTTATAGATATGATGTT